GTATTTGAATCTTAAAAACCAGGAATCATATCATCAGTACCAATTAAAGTCAAATGCGGTAAATAGGTTGCAACCTGTATGTCACTCGTGACTTCAGCTATATTTATCTCTAGATAAGCAGGCTGTGCTTGCTTCATAGTAATTCTTTATTGATTGCCTTTGAATAAGGTTACATTTGGGTTTTACATCTAACTTTAAAGTAAAAGTTTATCAGACAGGAAATCTCTTAATGACCCTATGATAAGATTTTCTTTGAAGCCAATATAAAATATCTGATTAGGGTCTTGAATTTTTAATTGAGTGTCTATCTTTGATTGCAGTCTATCTATTTCTTATTCAATCTTTCTAGCTATTACTGGTAGTAGTGTATAGCCAATAGGTATTCTTTTGGTTAAGCCATTTTATAGATCAAGATTTCCACTGATCTCGACAGCTACTTATAGCCCATCAAATTCATCTTTGTTTTCAACAAGGAATACGATATCGTGACTTATTTTTCTTTGATTTAAAATGCTATCAACGTTTTAAGGTATTATCTATTTCTCGAAATTGACTTTCACTAAGAATTCTTCATCAATAGTACATTGATACTGTTGAGTAGAATAAGTTCTGCCAATGAATTCAAAATCTTTTCTTACTAGAGTTAGATGCAGTGTAATTGATTTGAGATCTTTAAGATTAGAATGCTCATTAAATAACCTGCCCTGCAGTCTTACTAAATTTATGACAAATATATGTGTTGTTTTCAGATCTAAATCATCTTTCAAGGAGAGTGGCTTGATTCTTTATAATGCATCACTACTTTCGTCAGATTAAATCTATTAATCCTATGTAATTGATCTATGTCTCTTAAAAAGGTTAAACCATTCATTGAGTTGACTTTGCTGCTAAATTATTTTTTCTGAATTCATTTCTAGATTATATTTGAAAATTACAATTTAATATTTCAATTATTCCAAGTTTTATCTATCGGGGTTTTGGGGTTTTGGGGGGAATCTTCTATCAAATCTGGAT